TGCTCTCTGTTTCATCCTCACTGGCCAGAATCCTGTGTCCATGCAGCTAGCTGCAAGAGAGAAAATGAGCTCCTGGCATTTTAAAGTGCCATTACAGTAGCTGGCTCTGCTGTGAACAATATAAAAAAGACTGAAAATTTTATCTATTTTGTTTATTGCCATATACCCAGTGCCTAAGTTGGTATTAGGTATTTAGTAAATGTCTGTTAAATGAATGAATTAGGGAGTAATGAGAGGATGTTGTTAATATCCTTTGTGTGCCACAGAGATGAGCTTACACAATGAGGGCATGTCTTCTCCCTCTAATCTTTCTTTTTAAAGTAACTTTATTTTTATTTTAAACAAAATAATTATAAAAATATAGTGCAATATTTTCTTTTAATTGAGTATTCTGACTTTTCCCATCTGAAGTAATACAAATAGTTCAATAAAACAGTCATTTTAAGTGTACGTTTGTATGTAGCAAGCAGCATTAAATATTAGTATATTATTTTGTTCTGTTCTTGCAAGAATTGTAATAGATGTTTCTATGGAAAAATAGTATTAATAATAGCATTGCCACCCTAAATAGTTAATCAAAAGAGTAACAGATTTTCTTGACTTTCAAACTAAATTACATGCCATTTGGCTGCTTTGCCTTTTTGGAAAACATGTTTTTAAAACATGGTGTCTCACCATTTTCTGTAACAATTATAATTTAAGTGAGAAAAAGCATGCATTTTTCAGTCATTAGAGTAAGAATGGCCTTAGACTGTGTTAGATGGCATGTCCTGTGTGTTACTCCTTTTGGACTTGGTTTATAGGTGAAGAATGTCAAGATATCACCATCACCTTTTCAATTTGTCTTAGTCCTCACGTCACCTGGCAGCTGGGTTGATGGCATAGCCATTTCTCAGTTTAATCTGGTGACTAAACTGTAGTCCACTAAGTTAGACTGGCCATTGGTGTACCACCCTCACCTCATTTCTGGTTTCTATCACCTACTCTGGGTTAGGCTCACTGACTACAGCTCTTGGGAAGGGGATGAACTAGAATTTAGAATTTTAAGCTCAATATTTGTGAAGAAAGTTATTAATACTAAAGATTGGGCAGAAGACCTGGTTGTAAGAGATTAAAGAATCTTTTCACTATTAATAGTATATTATTCATATGTTATATAAGGGACATGTTATTTCTCTTTGGATTTTTTCATCCACCAATATTGTCATTGGATTGCTTATCATTTTTGTCTCACTATATTCAGGGACTTATATATTCCTGAGTGCACAAATGAAAATACATTTCCTTCTTGAAAGAGATGGCTATGTGAATTGGATTTTTGTTGTATTCCATGCCTTTCACTGGATAAGTTCCATTAAATATGCAACAGATTTTCCTGATGGCCTGGAAGCCAGCTAATATGTGGCCATCTTTGTTCCCTCTGATAGATTTACAATCTTGCAAATTAGCAAATTAATATTGCTTTACATGATTTGATAGTTTGTGCTAACATGAATAATACCCTTCTAAATATCTCTTTTGACCCTACCTCAGTGACATGTATGAAAGTTACTTAATAAGTATTCATTAAGTTAATTGGTTAGGAAATTCAGTTGGACTCATTACCATTCTGGGCATTAATATATGTATAGGCAGTAGATACCTTTTGTTCCAGCAGATTTCATTTCTTTTTTCCTCCTAGCTTATGTGATAGTAGAGTTCTTTATTAACCCATTGCCTGTGCTCAGTGATCCCTCTATTTCAGTCACATTAGACCTAAATGTATTTTGGGCTATGCAATCGCAATCTTGGGTAAAGTCACATAATCTTTTTGTGTCTTCATTTCCCTATTAGTAAACCTAGAGTAATCATAGTGCCTACTTCATCAGACTGTCATGGGTAAGTAAGTTAGTATATGTAGAACATTTAAAACAACCACTGGTCATGTCAGAACTACCCTAATTGTTCAGTTACAACCATTGGTTGTCCATCAATTCAAAATCAGTGAAAGCATTCTGTAAGTATTGATTGACTCTGTGTTGAATATACAGTAAATCAAGGTATATATATTATGTGAAACTGTATGCTGCACATCTTTATGTCAGTAAAATTTATAGCAAACGTGTGTACAGATACAGTGTTTTCATTGTTTTTAATAGTTATCATTGAGTAGCACTGCTTCTACTTATGTATGGTTCTCTACCATATGGATAGTGTCTGGATATAGCATGTAGCAAATGCTGTTGATATCCTACCCAGAGCTCCTTTACCGGGCAAGTGCATCCATCTCCCAGCTGTTTTGGTTATTGGCTGCTAGTGACTCACACCTGTACCCTTCTCCAGAGGGCTGCTCTTGGTTCACAGTAATTGACTCAACCAAATATACCTGAGAGATTGTGAGGTCAGGACCCAAACCCTCCAATTCCCCAGGAGTGGCTCATAGCCAACAACCCAGCCCCCTTCCCTTTCCTCTGGACTGGACAACTTCTGTGGTTCAATCCAAGTTCTTTAATTCCTCGTGGGATAAAGTTGAGGCTAGATTTCTGAAGCCATGTTTTTACCAAGATTCTTCCCACGTTCTAGCTTACTTCTTTCTTTCCTGGTTTCTTCTGACAGCACTCCATCTATAATCAGTCAGGTGTACAAGAAATGCCATCTCAAGTTCTGCATCTATGGAACCTGTCCTAAGATGTTACTCATCTCAGTACCTCTGTTGTTTTCTTATTTCTACCATCACTTATGCAACTAATTCCCTGCATTATATGATCTCTGTTTTAAATTTCTCCTTTCTTCATTTTTGTTTTGTTTTCTTGCTTAGACCCATCCTGATAGGCATCAGCCCTGTTCAGATTCCATGTCTTTGTATATTTAAGGTTACTCAATGTCAAATGCCTTTGATGCTCTTATATACCTATTTATTTCTGTACAGTATAATGTATATATATATATATATATATATATATATATATATATCTCCAGTAAAATATCATATGTAGCCCACATTTTAGGATCTTAAAATTAACTTCAAAACCTGAGCCAATTGGTTGTTGTAAGAATTATATGAGCTGTTCTTTCTGAAATACTTAGCACTGATCCTGGGATATAGGATGTGTTTAATAAATGGTGTCTGCATTATTACATTAAACTTTTTTTTCTTATGATACTGAGGGTTAAACTTAGTGCCTTGCACTTGTTAGAAAGGCACTTTACCTCTTGAGTCACTCCACCAATCCTATTTGCATTGCTATTTTAGAGAGAGGGGGTTACTTTATGCCAAACCAACTTAGATTACAGTCCTCCTAATCCTCACCTCCTTGGGAGGCTGAGCCACCATGCCCAGCTTGATGTTAATCTTTTAAGATTTTCCTCACTTTGGGTGAGACATCCCATGTCTTGCTCCCAGGGCATCTAATGAGCTTCTTAGTGACAGAACTTCATTAAACTGTATTAGAATCTCCAAGTTTTCTATTTCTCACAGAATATAGGAGGTTCTCGGAGTTGCCCAGTGTTGTATTATCTCCCTGGGGAAGGAAGAGACCTGATATGTAGCATTTGCCAATGTCCATAGTAAAAATTTTCTTGGCCAATTTGAAGCTACAATATGTTGTCATTGAAGAGATAGACACAAGTGGCTCTTAGCCGCCAGAGAACACCAACTCTAAGCTCCACTCTTTGGAATTCCTAACACCTAGCACAGTATGTCAGACATAGGAGCTAAATGTTCAACAAGTGACTAAAACATAGCTTTTAACTGATTAGAACTTGGTCATATGCTGCAAATTGGTAACATTCCATATGTAATTTTTACTATATCACCAATGACACTCCTCACACAAGCCACTGTGCTATTCACACATCAGAGAAAGAAAAGGAGTCACCAATATGTAATGGGATATGTGTATGCCTTTCCTGGGCAGATTGTCTTCTAACACAGATGTGAATCCCAGTTTTGTGATTTACTTAGACACATAACTGAGAATCAGTCACTTCACCTCTCTCAGCCTCATTTTCCTCATGCAGTTGGACTGGATGGTTTCTAAAGTTTCTTCTAATCTCAAAATCCATAAATCTTAATTAGTGTATGATTTCATTTCTTCATTCCCTCATTTTCCTTGTTACCATATTGAAGTTTGAGTTTTATATCATGCTAAATACAAAGAGTAGTAAGACATTTCCTAGCTGATGGAAATCTCAGTGTGTTTTTATAAACACCTCGTCTTCATCGAGACCATAAGTGTGCTCATTGCCCTTCCCCTGGGTAATAAACCCAAGTGGATTTATACAAATGTACCATGGCCAAGATTTTAGCTGTTCACAAATTTTAGCATTTGGACACATAAAGTTATTGTGCTAATAACTCTCTAGATGGAATTAAACAAGACTGTCCAGCTCAGCTAGCAGTTTGTCTTAGTCTGTTTTCTGTTGCTAGGACAAAATACCAAAGACTGGGTAATTTATAAAGAAAAGAAACTTATTACAATTCTGGAGTCCCCACCCATATGACCCCCATCTAACCCTGATTACCTCCCAAGGGCCCCACCTCCAAATACGACATAAAATTGGAGGATGAAGTTTCCAAGGCATGAATTTAGCTAATGTAAATGGGGTTGAAAGAAGCACCAGTGAACATTGAGGTCCCACTGTTCTCTGAGTTAGGGTCTTAGTTTGTAGAGCGCGTAGTTCACTTAGAACTGTTAAGCAAAGTATGGGAATATTCTTTTGACTTTAAGTCTAAGAAGTATTATCGTGTTTCTTTCTCGTGTGTTTTGATATGAAAGTTGTTTTGGGGGGTTTCGGTGGTGGTGTTTTTGTTTTTAATATCTGTGTTCTCCTTCACGGCTCTCTGTGCCTATTGGTTCTAATGCTTTTATTCTCATTCATCACATACTGTGTTTTCTAGATTTCTATTCTCCATACTACAGACTTTGGCACTTAATTTTGAAAAGATAGGAATTATTGTTGGGAACATTTTTCAGTTTCTGCGAGTTATTTTTAAAAAGGAATTTGTTACATTTTGACAGGGGCTGATAATATCCGGAAATACTGGAGCCGCTACTACCAAGGATCTCAAGGGGTAATATTCGTGTTAGACAGTGCCTCGTCAGAGGATGATTTAGAAACTGCCAGAAACGAACTGCACTCAGCTCTTCAGCACCCACAGTTATGCACTTTACCTTTTTTAATATTGGCCAATCATCAAGACAAGCCAGCGGCTCGCTCAGTACAAGAGGTATGTATGTCTCATTGCCATGATGGCTCTTCGTCTACCCTCTTTGTTGAACTATTGCTGCCACATTGGAATCTGGAAAGATGCATATATAGTTAGGGACAGACTGGTGATGCTGTTTTCATCTTGAAACTGTGGTTCTCTTAGGAGGCAGAAAGCCTTAGCAATCTATAGGATGTGTTTATATACCTCACCTTGTCCTGAAATGCCATGTTCTTATCCTTCTAAAATCTTGCTGCTGACTTGGAGCAATGGGTTCTATTCTGTAACCACCCAGGCTGAAAACTGGTATCTCATCTTACAAGTTCTGTGCCACCAAATGCATTTTAATATGGACCCACTATTTTCCTCACCTAATTTCATTTCATAGTTTGTATTGCTCCTATAAAAGCACAAGACTATTTTGAGCAAACAATTAGTGTCTCACTCAGCCAAGCTTCTGATTTATGGTGCTAAAGTAATAAGATATGTGAATAGTTGTTAAAACTTAAATTATAGTAAGTTATAACCTAAGTACAATGAAATAAAAACTCAGTATATTCTGTTATACCTGTAAGTTTCAGGATACACTTACCCCTTCCCTTCAGAAAATTGTGTGCATCCTCAAATGGCATTGGATTTAAGATGATTAATTGAAATGACCTTGCCCTTTCCTCTGGAAAAGTATATAGGAACCAAGAACATAACATGATTTAGCTCCAGACATCCCTCACATTTGGTGTGTGACCCATGCTACATAACGTTTTGCTTGTGCTCTGCTTCTTACCTATAAAAACTGGAATAATGCAAATTATTGGGAGGGGATTCATTTGGAAATTTTGCTTGGAAATTTAATGTGCTAAGTGGAAGAAGAATCACATATGGACAATTTTCATTTGTTTTAGAAAAAATAGTAAAGAAGACAATGGTTTATTTTTCAGCAGACAGAGCTCATGTCTACCCTCACTTGCCTCATTCAGCATTAAGTACTTAATGCCTTTTTCCTTTTTAGATTTTGGAAAAAATAAATAATAGTAATCAAAGTAAAAATAGCCATAAAACTCTGCTTAGATTGTCATTATTCTGCAGCTCTTTAGCATTGTAACTATGGTGCCTTCTTTATATGTTCTTAAGACCTTGGGTAAATCTTTTAATGTCTCACCATCAGCTTGTTCTATCTGTAGAGTAGAAACAGTAGTATGCAATAATAAGTTGTTATAGGTGTTTATTAGTTTTTTATTATAAGGTGCTTTGCTGAAAATGCATAGTCATTTTGACAGTCAGAAAATATGATACATGTGTATATTGCAGAATAGAGACAACAGTAAAATGTGCATATATATAAACTATATAAAACATTATATAACATGAAACAGATATGATGCAGGCATCATTATAACCTCAAATCACCTGATTCAAGTTAGATCTGACAAGAGATTTTTATTTTTGTTTTAAAGAAGTTAGCTGTTTTCCTCAGACATCGCATAATTGAGACTAATGTGTTATTTAAACCTAACATATGACTCATGCTAGCCCTCTGTAGGCATTTCAGACTGTCACACTGAATAAAGGAAGCGTCTAATAATTAATTGCTTCTGAGTATTCTTTGTGTGTGCTAGCTGGCTATCTCTCCGAGGGGAGGAGCAAATATCTTTTCCCCCTTTTTGTGATGAACCTTTTCGTAAGACAGATGGTTATAAATGTAGAGTGGTCACAGGTATGGCTTGATAGTTATTTTAAACTTGTGTATGCTGGAGCACATGAGACTTTGTTTTTCTTTTTCATATGTATCAATTGTAAATTAAGGAATGGAATTTGTAAAATGTCCTTTTGAAGACTGATTTAAGTAAAGCATTTTTTTCTATGCTTACATGAACACATACCATACAGGTGCATGTTAACAAAATATTTTGGATTATTTTATTGGAATAGATAAATTCTGTTACAGATCTTGGATTTTGTGTAGGCATAGTGAAGTATTTACTTTTACTTTGGTTTAGCCTACGAAGAAAAGGAAGCTTCTATCATTCTCATTTCTTGATGACACAGAAGTTTCTCTGTGTTCATATAATGCCTTGTTTTAACAATTAAATCCAACCTTTATTGTTAGCATAAAAATGCAGTCATGGAAGCTGAATCTTCAATATTTTTATATTTTTATAAACAATAACCTCAAACTGGTTGCAAGCAGGCTTGCATAGAAAATTGAAAAGTGAGTAAAGCCACATGTTATTTGAAATATATTTAGATGTGGTCATTTTTTTGTTATTTTTTTATATAAAGTATTACATGCCCAGCTCTATTGCCAATAAAACATTATATATATATTTCACCGGCTTAATTGGTATACACTTTGTGGTATTTTTTAGTGTTAAAAAGACAACTATTTTACTCTACAAAATACCTGTGAATTTTAGCCAAAATTCTATCCTTTAAAAATCAAGGAGGGTTCCTTCGGCTTACTGAAAAGCACTGACTAACTCTAATGCAGTTAAGAAAAGACTGTAGGTCATGAAGGCTTAGCAATTCTTCTACATCTCCCGTTGAAAATGATTACACTCTATACTTTCTGCAGAAAACATGCCATTATTTATCCTATCACCACAGTAAAACTTAAGGATTCATTGTTTAATGAGGATATCAATGTATTGTTATCTTTAGAACTGGACAGAAACCAGTAAGACCCAGAGGAGAAAGCTGAATTATCACTGGATTCCAACAGACAGTAAAAATCATCAGAAAGTTAAATATTTAGTCTCCTCCCCTACTGAGTGTTGGCTGTGTTTGTGTGGAGCACTGAGTTAAGAAAGGAAGAAAATGGTTAAAATTACTGCATAACCCACAGTCAGAAGGCAACATGCCCAATTACCTTATTGGCCTTTCAGAAGCAAGTGGAGTCTTGCACATAGTATATTTTCCCTCCTTTAGAGTAACTGGTAATGACTTGTGTTTAAGTTACCAGAATTTTGAGATTTTATATTTTCAGAATTGATGATAGAAGCACGCATTTTTTTTAAACAAATAAGCTTTTTTTAAATTTTAAGTTGCAAATTACTGGGAAAAAGAACACCCTTTCTATACTGTCTGAAAGCCAAGCAGTTCTTACAACAGATGTTTGTTGTATTCACTTTGGGAAGGTCTAGTTATTACGGCTTTCTAGAATTTATTCATATCAAACTACTTTTTCTCTATAGAAAGCATACTAGAAAAATCTATAATTATGCCAAGTGGCCCACTTGATACATTAGGGGGAAAATCTGGTCTAATTTAACTGATAGAGCTATAAAATGAGAATTCTTAAGGGTAAATAGGATGGCTTTTTATTTTTATTGAATTGTAATTGTATCTAATTTGTTTTACAACTCCCATAGGAGAGCATACTTCAGTTCTGAAGTTATATAATAGATCAGGAGGATTTTATGAGAAGTTAAGTTGATAGAATAATAAATGTAATCCTATTTTCCCTCTACACAATTGCTGATGGTGATTCTTTTGACTCCTGGCTTTTAAAAAATGTTGTTTTCATTTTATTGGGTTTACCATGTCTTATAAAATGATATTTTGTTACCATGAAAAAAAAAGTCCTAATTTTAGCAATCTCAAATTGATGTTTATAATATCCTTAATCCCAAAGTACTTAAGTTTTTCAGAAATACTACATCAAAACTACTGCATTATTGAATATCTTCTATTAAAGTAAATATTAATTGAGAAACATAAAAACTGGGAAACAGATTTTTGAAGCTGAATAATAAAGTCAATGACGCTATTAATTCCATGGGCCATTAATTATTGCACGAAAAAGTCCGGCTGCTAAATTAGAATGTCAGTATTATGGTTAAAATTTGTGACAAGGCTATTTCTCAGTTTTGATGTAATCGTGATTCAGTTTGTTATGACATGCATTGATCTTGATGTTACATTTGAGAAAAATATAGATGTGAGAAGAATATTTTTTTAGTTCTTTAAACTGTTTTGTTTTGGTTGTAACCATACTTTGAGTACTCATATGTCATGAATAGTTTTAATTCTCACTTTCTAGGCTGTTGTTATCTTAGGCTAGTGTTTTTATACTGTTTAACCAATCACATTTAATTATAATTCTCATTTATAGATTATTTCCACATTGTATATTTTTATATAATATCTGTCACCAAATAATCCTATAGTTTAAGTATTTTATTTTATGCTTATATTGATGATTGAATGACAGTCAATCATTTCTTTTTGGTAGCTCTATGAAGTAACAAATATCTTTTCTGTTTTTCCATGATAATTACTTTATTAGAAAATTCAAGGTGCTGTTAAAATCTCACAAAATACTTAGCTTGATTTAATATTACCTTCCGTAAGACGAGAAGTGTGTGTGTGTGTGTGTGTGTGTGTGTGTGTGTGTTTGTAAAGTAATCATTGGGAAGTGTCATATACTTTAAATTTTATGAGTTTTCTGAACATCTTGACCTGCCTCTTGGCAGAATTTTAGAATTCTGATTTGATTTCACATACAGCAGTGTACATACCTATGGGGGGTGAGCAGTTTGAAAACTCCCTTATGGGACATACACTTATTCTAAAATGATATGAGATAAAAATTATTTTTGTCTGTTTCCTACAGACGTGTTCCACACTGCTACAATTAAGTTGTGTGGAAACAATAAGATGGTTTGAAAATCAGTTTTCCACTGAATGACTTCAGTTATCTCTTGGAAATGTTTATAAACCTGTAAGAAAAGGTGAATTAGCAATCATTTCATTAGTTGCAAAAATAGTTTAAGTATTTTTAAAGAACGTTATAGTTAACTTTATAGTTAATTTTTCTTAGTGTATATTAATTGTACAAAGGAGTTTCATTGTGGTAGTTCCATTATGCATTTAATGTACTATTACTCTTTCTTATTCCCTTTCTCTCTTTTTTTAAACTCTTAATGGGTTTTATTATTCTACTTTCACATATAGATCTAATGGACTTCTTTCATACTCACACCAACCAGTGGGAGGGCAAAAGGAAAGGGCAACTTTTAAAC